GGAAAATGGAAATACAAAGGAGTGTCACACTCCCTATTTTTTCAAAACATGAAAGAACATAGCAGCAAGTTTTGTTTCAATGAGGAAGAAATCTCACATGTTTTGGGTGAGGGAGAGTCACTTTGCAGCTGGAAGTTATGGTGACAGGGATCCTGTCAGATTTAACAAAAGAGGAAATACCCCATGCTACAAGAAGCAATCTCTCTTTCAACTGCGCAACCTGGAGGAACCTCCAGATATCTGTCATGATGGAGATACCATCAGAGGCAGGCACTGTGACATTCTCTGTAACAGTGAATAACTGTAAAGATTCACGTGTCTTCTTTCAGAGAATGTTCCAGCAAGGATGCCAAAGAGGCAGCTCTCCAGGCTGAGTGATATGAAGGCATGTACATTTTCACAACGAGCAGGATCAAGTATCACAAGAAACAATCAATGAACAATTTGTTCTAAATGCTCAAAACAGTGCGGAGCATAGCTGTACAACACTTGCCCTGACTCCTGCCACAGACCTCAGAATAGAAACTTCCCATTGACAGCAAAGGGACAGAGGACAATTGATAGGAAAGAGGCTGCGTTTAGGGCCTCAGTTGTATCTCTGTGTAGAGTTTTACCCTAAAACTAACATATACATTATGTACTAAAGCATGAATATGGCCCATCTTCTGATGACAAGTTCTGTTCTGACATCTGATCAAAACAGTAACCATTTTTTGTTTTAGGTAAAAAAGTCTCTACTGAAGTGATTTTCTATGGGTGTTCTGTGAAAAAAATTTGTTGTTGTTGCAGTTTTGGGGTGGGATGGGTTTGAACCCGCCACTTCCAGCATATGGAGCCAGCGCCCTACTCCTTGAGCCACAGGCGCCACCTAATGCTGTGAAAAATTTAAAGATCATTAACTAAATTGTATTCTAAGGAAGATCAAAGCACAGTAAGTGCTTTCTTACTCTTTCTTTTTTCTTGATCAACATAATTTAAGTGTACTGCATAAGTTTAACTGTAGTTTCAAGTGTGTCGTGAGAAAAAAAAGGGTTGAAAAACACTAGTCTCCAGGAAATGGTGGCACTGAGAATGGTTTAAGGCATCTCCTGCTGTTAGATATTTACTACAAATATACTGTGAAATCAGGGAGGAAGATTTCCCCCTCCTGATCTCTTTCTCAAGCTTTTAGCAGGTATTTGTGCACATTAATGTGTGACTTTTCTCATCCTGATCCCAGAATGCTCTATGCCTACGTGGTCCCAAAAGAGTTCCCGCTGCCCCACAGCACTGACACTGCACAGCCACACCCCGTCTCCAATCCGATTACGTCTGGGCGAGAAGTCTTTCCCAGGATCCTGTCCCATGGCCTCTGCACAAGCTCATGTCACCAGGTCACTGTGAGATGGGATCTCAGTGCAGGTGAGAGGGACTGAGGGAAGGCAGGGGTGAGTGCAAGCAAACTTCAGGCTGGACACTGCAGAGTCAGCGATCAGCAAGTCCAGTGCCCGGCATTTCAGAAAGGAGGGGGACACAGAACGACCCACCGAGAACAGCACTGTACCTGAGTAAGAGCCATTCCTGAATCCTCTCTTTTCCTCTCCTGTGCTTCTTCCTCGGGTAATATGACTCTTTAGAAGTCAATCCTGAATGTCAAAAATATGCTGTTTATTGTTTAGAACCAGCACACACGCTTCTAGTGCCACAACCATACACATCTCGCCCATGGAAGATAGTCCTCTACTGCCCAAGGCCCCGGGGGCGGGGTGGGGGGGGATGAAGGACAACAAACTCCTCTTACAGGAGTTGTGAGGAGATGGTGTCTGATCGGGCTCAGCCGCACAGACTGTCCCCCACTTCACACGCACTACTCGAGTACTAGCTGCCACAGGTACTTCCCACTGATCAGCTGAACGTCAAGGTTTCCAATACAGCCGGTGTTTCATTACTCTCCTGGAACGAAACAGCTGTTCTTATCCTTTATAATATTAGTTATAGTAAATGAGAAAACTGAAGTGAATGTTTCCCTGGGCTTTGTGAGCTGCTCTAGCAAATTAATATAGACTGAGGAGGGGCCGTGGGAACCCCCAATTTACAGCAGTTAAGTCACAAGTTCAGATCCCAACCTCTAAGCCATTTTACGAAAGGCAACTGACAACTCGAAAGGCAACTGACAACTCCGGGCTGTCAAGGCGACGTGTGAATTCACTTAGAGTGAAGGGAACGCCGTGGGATTTATAAGGCCCGTAGGGAACCCGGGTTATCGGATAGGGGAGCGCTGGGGGACCGCGAACCCTACACTTAACGTAAACAACGAGAAACTCACCAGCGGCAGCGAGACGCTTGATCCCAGGAATCCACTTCCGGGTCTGGGGGACCTGCGCGCGCAGAAGAGGTCGGGGCTGGGCGGGGCCCAGCGGAGTGGGCGGCCCCAAAGGAGTGGGCGGGAGAGGGCCCAGGACGGTGGGCGGGGTCTGTACAGGACCTGGGAGGGTCGCGGAGTCTGGGCGGGGTCTGCGCTTCTACCCCGCGGGCTCCTGCTAGGTCTGCTGTTTTTTGTGTTGCACACGCACTGCCTGCCAGTGAGGGAGGAGCTACGCAGCGGACTGGGAACTGGGCTCTCCCAGGTGGGCTCCACGTTGGGTGCCGACTGCATTCGCTACAATTCCTGCTACTAAAATTAATTTTCGCCATACAGACCTTGAAATTGCCTGGGAAGGAACTGCAACTGGAATGTGAAATACAAAACGCTACCTGGGCGGAATGTGCCTTTGCTTGCTGACGCCCAGAACACTAGAAATCCTTTTCCATTTCTGTTAATATTCCCCACTCACAGGGAGTCAAACCTGTGCTCGGGTCCCAGACTCTCGTAGGGACAACATCTGGGTGTGGAGCACTAATGCCAGTGATAAGTTACGTCACCAAATACTGCTTTTATTTTTTAATTAATTAATTAATTTTTTGAGACAGAGTCTCACTTTGTCACCCTCGGTAGAGTGCCTTTGCGTCACAGCTCACAGCAACCTTGGGCTTAGGCTAAGGTGACTAGATTTTAACATCGGTAAAGTGGGACACCATTGACCGGGGTAGGGGGTGGGGATTCTTAATTAAAAATTTTGGTCTATATGGAGCAACAAAAATTTTCATAGAACGCAAAAAGGAGACTCGCTTGAGCCCAGGAGTTGGAGGTTGCTGTGAGCTGTGATGCAACAGCACTCTACCCAGGGGGACAGCTTGAGGCTCTGTCTCAAAA